ACAAGACGATAAACAAAGCAATAATCACGCTGTAATACTATTGCTTCCTTTGCAAATGCAGACGTCTTATACAAAAATAGTTGTTAAAGGTGGTAGATACAGAAAGAGGAACAGTACGGACCGTGCAGGCCCTACCAGGATCATATTAATAGAAACTATAAACAGCCCGTCCGGAAGGCTGCAAACACCGGCCGACGTAATGAGGGTCAGGAATTAAAATATAAACAAATTAAAAAGGCCGACATCAGCAGATCGGTGTACGAGAGGGGAGAAAATTGAAATAGGCCAGAGAAGATTGTTGAGCAGGAAATGTACGTAAATCGTATGTCATGTAGAAGGGTTATGCACAGAAGAGTATGTTAAAAAAGGGGTCTGCCTGTGTTTTGTCCCTAAGCTGTAAACATAAACAGTCAACCAATTTTACTAATTTTAACATGGGTTAGCGAAAAATCAAGAAGGTGTGGAGAAAGAAAAATTAGTAGAAAAGATATATCTTTGAAAACTGGATTTCAACCAATACTGTTATTCTTTCAAAACAGATCAACACCAAAAAAAATATTTCAATTCGGCAAACAAGCAGGAGGCCTTGACGCTCTTTTGCCAGTGGGCTCCCTGACCAAGCGCTGGTACTAACTTCCACATAAAAGTTTCGGCGGGAAAATTGTTAACTCAGGAACCAGAATACCTGGAAAGGTGGGATCACACTTGCTGAAGTCATTAATTTGCGAACATTTCTTGAGCAGATGGCTACCTTATTGAGATAACAGTACCACAGACCACGAAAAAAACCTGCACTCGAATGCCCTCGTTTTACTCGGATAGAAAAATAATTAAGAAAACTGGAGATAGCATTGGAAGATGAGTTAATGCGTGCGAGGAAACACCGTCGAGGAAATGACAACAGATATGCACGCTGATAAGACTGACCGTTTACAGTTTGGCTCAGCGAATACTAACCCAGGCTGAAACACACCAGGCGAACCGATGCGATCATGCGTTTTTGCACCAAACTTGAAATAGCTGCATGAATTTTGTTGTTTCTTCACACATCCCTTATGCGCTCAATACCGTAAATCACCGCAAATTTTACAAAAACGAAAATAAAAAAACAAACTTTTGTGACGAGATATGTGAGAGCAATTAATGCAACTAAGGCTACACTGCAAACAACCAACAAATCGACGATGTCGTCATCCATACGACGAACGTAGAGGCCTAAAATAAGCAGGGAACAGGCAAAACCCAGCACGAAGGCAGCCAAAAATGTCAAGCGCCACTGCTGGGAGAAGAAATGAGTTCATTTGGATCCTCCCAACCCTCTCCCTCCAACTCTGATCCTCCCAGACCTCTTCCTCCAACTTTTTCGTGACAGCCTGTTCCTAGTAGAGGAGGCAATTTCTTGGATATCTACATCTAAATAGCCTACCGCAAGAGATCCTAGTCAAGCCATACCGGGAATCATAAAAAATAAAGGGGAGGGGGTACATTTCGCAAAAAAAAGACTTCGGCTTCGGCTGGGGGAACGCTGCTAAGACGCTGCTAATTCAGTACCACACAGAAGACTGATCACTGAAATAGCACCAACAAGAACTGGGAAAATAATATAAAGCGATGCGTGCATTCTGGGGTGCCTAGTGCAAGCGGAAGCGGCCATGAAATTATGCAAATCGCCGGTTTTGTAGGATTAGAGTTGCACTGTAGATAAAATCAATCAACAAAGTCAGTTTTGCTGTCCCTCTCCAATACACTCTGGGAAACTGTACACTCTGATCGTCCGTAGCAATTCGGCGCTTAAAAAATCATAAGGAATTTCAAAAGGCAAATGCAATTTGGCGGATGCTACGGTCCAAATGCTTACTTATTTCTGAAACGCGTATTGAGAAGAGGCGGTGTGTATTCGCACTTTTTGTCACTCACTTTCAGCTCGAGAACCAGAAAAGCAAAAGATTGAAACTTTGGGAGTATGTGCCCATACCACATTTACAAAGAAGGTGACGTGTGGGGCTGTGAACTTTTAAATTAAGGGGGTGCAACTGCTGTCAATGTAACTTTCTCCGTTTTTTTGCCCTCGAAAAGCGCAACCGCATCTGCTATTCACTCTTTACTCATTTCACAGCCCTTTTATCGGAGAGTAAACTCTGGAAAGTCAATTCGTTACCTTCTCCTCCCCACCCTCTCCCTTGTCCGAACTGCTCGACGGTGAACTGGATACAGTACTGCAATAACACACAGATTACCTTCACTTACTCACTGGGCAAACACTCGTAAAAAACTATGTCCTAGCATCTGGTTCACACAAGAATTTTGCCAAGGAAGTAAAATATAGGAGGAGGAAGAGGTACTGTAACAGCTGCACGAAATACGTACTGTCATAACTGTTTGTATATATATATATGTGTGTGTGTGTGTTTATGTGTGTCCGAGTGTGTTCTGTCCAGGGTTTTCAATTCGAGGATCAGAAAAACTAAAAAGATAAAACTTTAGGAGTATGGTCCTTGCCTAAGTGCGATTTCGAAAGCTTACATTCAGCCTTTAAGTACAATTAGATCTTTAATACTGACGCGTCAAAGTCTGGGTGGAAAAACCACTAATTCGAGAATCAGGAAAGTTAGGAAGCTAATGTTTTCGGAGGATGTCCCCAGTCTTTTTGTGATCCAGAGACTTCAAATTAAGTTTTCACTTATGCCGAGGTCTTACATGTGGTGAAAGTCTTGGTATAGAAATCACTAACTAGGGAGCCAGAAAAGCTAGGAAGCTGAAATTTCACAAGAATGTCTGCCTATGCAGGTCCTCAAAAAACCCAATTCAGTCTACACTTAGGGCCAGATCTCATGTACAGACACGCGAGTTTTGGCAGGAAGTTTTCTGATACGGAAGCAACGGCCACACTGCAAACAACAAACAAATCGACAACGTCGTCACCCATACGACGAACGTAGAGACCCCTCACCTTCATTCAGAAAAAGTATGGGATCGCGGACAGCAAAACAACTAAATGGGCAAAAAAAACGCAAACACTGGGAAGAAAAATGTTCTTCGGTCCTAATACAAAGCGCCTGTGTTAAGGACAAGAAAGGTCAAAAATTACTATCCCTTTGCTGCAGTGTGCCTGAAATAAACAGGAATAAAGAGAGGGTAGAAGTATTTCTCGTTTCCTCAAAGCGCATGAATATTTGCAAACTGATGTTTTGCTTATTTGACACGGTAAAGGAACAGATCTACAACCACTGGCAAAAACATATAAATAGCGAAGCGCACCGAGGTAGCCGGTGCGATCATGCGTTTTGCGCAATTCTGTCCAGCGGAAGTTTGCTGTATATAACTGTTTTACACCTTCGTATATGGAAAAATAATAGATACACTTTCTGGCTCCTAAGATGGGGAATTTCCCATTGAAAATTTCACGTGCTAGTACGTGAAAGCTGAATTTGAAAACACAGATGGGGAACATCCTTCCAAATTTCAACCTTGTATTTTTTTCGGCCTCCGAGCTAGCGACTTTCACATCACAATTCTCATGTGGTCTTACGTAAGACCTCTGCATACTTGGGACCTCTACTTGGGACATCGTAGGACCTCTAGCTAAATTTCAGTTTGTGAGGCACCTGCGGCGGTAGAAAATATCGTCCTGAAATTTCAGTTTTTTAGCTTTTATGGTTTCGAGATAATTTTCCGCCAAAACTTTCACGGGGACGTACGCGATACCAAGCGCACTGAAAAAGTGAATTAACATTTTCTGGGTTGCACGTGGTCAAGGGGCATACCCATAAAATTTCAGCTTTCCAGCTCCGTGGTTTCCGAGATACTGATTTACCCGAAAAACTTTTACGGAGCCGTACGTGTTACCCGCAGATACGGGAAGGCTGAATTTAAATTTGCCGCTTCACCGATGACGGGGAACACTATACTAAAATTTCAGCTATCTAGCTTTTATGGTTCCCGAATTGAAAGTGCGGGACAAAGTGTAGGACACACACACACACAGACAACCCCGTGACAATATGCGTTTTGTACCGCTGTTACATAGCACAAAACTCATAAAAAACCAACTACTTCCATGATTAAAACAAGAGAAGAAATGCTGGGGTATTTCCGGGTTACTAACATAGGGTTAAGCGTAGCGCTACTTGCCAATACGTCGTTTGCAAAAAATGAAATCTATAAAAAGCAAATGTCGGTTTAGAGCTGCAGCACTGGAGAATGCTTGAAACTGATCCAGGAGCCACTGGAAGAGAACTCGTCATATATGCTAATATTTCATATTAACCTGTTACTTTTTTTTTTCTGCGCTCTTGCATATTATGCAAATGCAAAAAGCATATTATAGGAAGGTACTGCTGCGGAAACGTTCTTAAGAATGCTCCGAACACCGACCAAAATGTGGTAAATTTCGTTGTTTTTTACGTTTGGCCCTGTCAGAGACGTCCTTTTCCCGCTGCATGCAAGAAAAGACCAAAACACAGCCAAAAATGGATTCACATATCAAATCGGAACGCAGGAACTGTTCATGCTGTGAATGACCTCACTAACTGTCACAAGTTTAGTGCAAAAACGCATTATCAAACTGGCAAATTTAGCGCGCTACAGCCCAGGCGTTATTTGTGACGTAAAGAAGCCCTCTGTTAAACTTAATGATCAGTTCACGTAGATCAATCAAAACAGCAAAAATACAAGTGTGTTTACAGTTTAGGGATGAAACACAGACTAGACAACAGCTAATGCACATACAGACTAGCTTATCTGGGTAATTGAATTAGCGCTCACTGCTTTCCCACAATATTCGACTGTGTCCCTTTGATCGGCTGGCCTACAGTGCCAAACATACTTTCATAGGTTACATTTTTCAGAAATTTCCAAAACACTTATTCTGATTCAGCTCACATGTGGTGGTCACTGTGGGCGATTTCAACCCAAAAAGAGGGGGAGGGGGAGAGAAAGGGGAAAAAGATGTGCCGCCAAATACAACAATGGTAAAAGCGTTGAGGG